TTTGAATGGAAAACCTAAAATAAGTGTGAAATGTTAAAGGGATTTTTGGCACGTTACAACCGCCCCTCTCCTACGATAATAGGCAAAGTTACAAAGAAACTTTTCCTACGATAATATAAGCAAACTCGAGAACCAAGATAATATAAGGAACCTTAAATATATTTATATTTTAAATTTAAATTTAATCAAAATGACTATCAAGGAACAACAAACAAAAGGTAAATATTAATAGAGGTAGTTATGTGTCCTACCAGATCGAGTATCTGCTTACTTTCCCTTAAAAAACACAAAGGGAAGATAACTAAAGTCAATGAAGCTAAGGGTAAAGGCCATAAGCAAAGTCGTAAAGGAAAGAAGAGAAGTTATTGAAGCTTTTGCTGTCCTGCAACGGAGAACACTATGCACTCCTCTCGCTGTATCCAGTGTAGGCGGAAAAATTCTAAAGCATTATTATTTTTTTTTATTTGATGTATTTTGTCGCAGTTTTTGAATTTTTCAGCCAGCGTTACGTTACCACCTGTCAGGTATTGTTTTTACCTCTTGCACTAGCCTTACACCAGACACCAGCAAGAGAACTTCCCAAAGCTCTCCACCATGAAACAACGAAAGAGTGAATAGAAGAAAAAGACAAGAGAAATTTTACCAAGAGACCCACCAAACAATCAGTAGCGAATTATAGCACCCGCCACCCTAGGCGGGTAACGCACCGAGCAGTCACTTCTTGAAACCATATCGTAAAAGGAAGATTCACCAAAAGTAATAATTAGCTGTCCTAGATTTGAAGAATAGAGATGTAACGACACATTTCAAAAATAAATCGGCTAAAATTCTATGTACCAAAAATTGCAGACAACAATATAATCAGTTTTACTGTCACTAATTAATGTTTTATTACTTAAATAACAATGAGATAAGTAAACCAAATAAAGAGTGGAAATAATTATTGAAATCTTGAAGGTAAATATTGAGGTTCAATAATACTCGTTTAAATATAAAAATCAGAGATCGAATTTGACAAAATTAGAATATCTGATTTCCGCCGAGAATAAGTTCCTTTTTATTGTTATTATATAAATCAAGCCATGTTGTGAATATTGTTAAACACGAAGCGCACAAATACCATTGCTGTCTTTGAGGCTCATAATAACTTAACTTAGTTCCCAAACTTTTACTCTCGACAACATCAATAATATTATATCTTTTTCAAACAGTGAGAATCGGCATAATTTCAAGAAATTCATGCTAACTTCAAAAGAGGGGGTTTCTTTGGATCACTTGAACATTTATTGCGTTTTTGAAAAAGTTTCGGCGTAAGTATATCCAATTTTTATAAGTGGGAGATTTTGAAATTTATTTTTTTCAATACATATCAGTGGGGAGTTTTTTTATAATTTAAAATAGAGTAGTAAAAGCATTGGGAATTGATTGACTTTGACTTCGTACCAATCAGTGTAAAAACCTAAATGATCACCTGAAGTGTATAACAACACATTTTGCTTCAAAGCATGTTTCAGTTTGTATTTGAAGAGTGCTTATATGTCTAACATCCAGAATCCAGAATCATTCAAGTCAAGGATGATAGTAAATTAATATATAAATATTTATTTACCTTTGAGATTTATATTGTAATTAGTGAGCTTATTCAAGGGCTACTTGTCGTATCTTTCGGCTTTGATGAACCAAGTGTGCTAGGATTGCTTTGAATATAATTAATTGGATATAATAATGTGGGAGTCTTTGATATCCTTCCCCTTCCGGATTGACTTGTACTAGGTATTGATTCAACTTCCGAAATATTTCAGTTCAGATAAGGGTTTTAGCCTATCATTACCTTGGAAATAGTATTTTGTATTCACGGAAATTAATAGGACAATCAATGCTAGGAATTTTCAGTGGATTTCACTATAAAAACCTTAGTTTTTTAGGGAAATTATTACGCATAGAATTTTTCAAAGCCAAACGGGATTATATATTGATTGAATAGATATACAGGAGCTCTTGTAATCATGTACCTACTTCCAGAACTTCGGTTACTTTGGAAGCCTTATACACTTGCTGAGTTAGTCTTACAGTTGCTAAAAGTGCTCCGCAGTTTGGAAAGCTTTTTTTCAAGGTGTTTGATTTTTATTTGGCTGATTTTGAGAATTCTTCTCATTGCCTGGAAGATCTTGGTGTGATTCGGGACAGAGTAATCAGGTTTTTATGATAACTCGAGTGATGTTTGATAATTTGTCTCGGAAATTGTCAATTTTTGGAGTTTGTGATGAGTGTTTTGAACCGTCAACACTAAAGGATGTTGCCTTTGGTTCGCAGTTACAATGTGTTCAGTGCTAATTTCCATAAAATGCGTTAGTTGATTGCTCATGTTGCAATACGAAGTTCTCATTTTATTCTAATAAAGTCGTTATTGTCCATCGATTTTATTCTGATACTTGGATGGAATGTGATCTGCTAGCTCGTACCATTATAACGCCAATGGATACCTGACATAACACCTGTTTTTGCCATAGGGAACACCCCCTCGCTCCTCATACGGAAAGTGTCAGCTAAAAATCGACGAACAATACATGCAAGATCATTCACAACGACAACTGAATGCCCTGGAACATACAATGTTTCCTCTGGCTTTGGCAGTGCTCGGTCAGTGAAACTATAATTTAGAAATTCGAATTATCCGTAAGAACTTATTGATAGATCATCCGATTAATCACCAGATCATTGAATATTTACGCCGCATCACTTTCCCTTGAAAAAAAAAACTTCGATTAGTTTTTCCGATAAATCCGATACCGTAATACGATATAACAAAAAATTCTACCAGTATACAATCAACATACACGTAGCTAACAATATTCCCATATTTACTCATAATGATGATATAGTGTTCCTTCGTAGCTCAGTTGGTTTAAATATAATTAATTAAATAATACTTACCGGTCTCGCTGCACTTAAGTTGTTAACTTCATTTTTTTTTTCCCCAATTGGAAGCTATTTGGAATAGCTAGTAAGAGGAAAAAGGATGCGTAGAGGACGAGTAAATTTCTTCTCAAGATCGCGAGCCGATAGAAGTTTGTCACAACTTCAAAAATACTTTAATTTTCCGAAAATTGCCGGCCCGAAAAAGTTATATTTTTGCATTAGCTTTCCATCGATAATATTTTATTACTGCTTAAATCTTTTTGATACCCACAAACTTTTCAGCAAGCGGCGTTGCCAAGCATTTTTACCTAAAAGAAAAACCTCGGCGCAAACATATAGTTAAAGTTAAAAATTCTGCTGAAAAAATTCTGAATTTTGAGAAACTTTCTACGAAGAGCAACAAGGTGTTTATAATTTTAGCCAGAATATTTAAGGCTTAGGATCAAATAGGTAAATCTACCGCTACCCACTGAAAATAATTTATTCAATCGATGCCTAAAATATCCTCCTGAGACCCCAACTCAAAAAAAAAAAAAAATTGAATTTTTTTTGCGGGTTTTGACTTGAAATGGGTACTAATAGAAACATAAGCAGTTAATTTTTCTAAATTTTTTTATTTTTGACAGTTTTTTGAAAAGTCCATTTTTTTGGACATGCGGATCATATACAGTCATTTTGATTTTTTATGAATCTTAAAAAAACAGTTATGGTCATAAGTTATACAGTAATATTGATTACATTTTTCGCACAAAAATTTTGTTTTCTTATTACATTGTGGGTAGTGTGAATTGTGCTTCGTTCTAACATCTCATTATCAGAACCTTCCTCAGGTTCTGAGCTAAAAAGCCATTCGGAAACTTGAAGTTTAAAATCAAAAAACTGTAAGTGCTTTTTGTTTAACTTTCTGAGATCATTTCGGTACAGAATCCAGGAATTGGCAATTCCGACATCCACAAAATGAAAAAAAGTTTTAACAGTCCCCTTATTCGTTCGTGCAGATATCCGATAATACGCAATCATTCTGTCAATGAGATCGATGCCACCCATGCATTCATTGTATTTGGACACCATGTAGGGCCTTCTCACTCTGATAAATTTTTTGTCAGATTTGGACCATCTCTTGCATTCATCTGAAAGTTGTTCTTGCAAAGTAGTTGATGCAAGAAGAACGGATTTCATGTCGTACCACTGAAGAATGTTAACTTTCCCATCAGATCTTTCAGTTTGCTCAGATGAACCCCTGCCCAGTCGTTTGAAAATATTTTCTTTTGTCAGGTGAACAGCCTGCGGAATTCTTGATTTCATGATTATACCAGTTCCATGGATTTTTTTCTCTAATAGGGTTTCTAGAAGAGAAATTGTGGTAAAGTACCTGTCCATGTAGACATGCGAACCCTGCGGTAGAGTCTGAACAAGCCTGATGACAGCTGAACCACCTACACCTAAATGATTTACGGAAGTATCCAGGAAAGTATTTTTACCTTGGTATACTTCAAAATCTAAAATCAAACCAGATGGTGTTGCACACACAAAATTTTTCAAGCCTTCAGGATTGGGCTTACCACGCACAAATTGTTTGACACCACATACCCCGGTGAATGGTATCATTTGTTCATCTATCGCGACTTCAGCTTCTCTTGGTAAGGTCAAACATGTATCTCGAACTTTCTTCATGATAGGTCTAATTTTCCAAAGCTTATCTTTTTGGCGATATTCTTCTGAAATATCACCATCAATAACTACCTTCAAATGGTTTCTAATAACAAAAAATCTATCTCTAGTCATTTTTGAGGCTATAGCGTAAACTTTTGTTGTCTTTGCCCAATACATTCGTATTCTAGGATATTTTAAAAGTGACATCAGGATGCTTATTCCAAAAAAATGTTTAGTTTCCTTAACTGTTAAATGAAGAGGCTTTTGGTGTAGTAACATGTATTTTACGTTTGTGGACTGGCAGATTTGTTGAAAAATATTGTCATCGAAATACATGGCAAAATAATCAGACACCGAGAAATTTTGCCTTTCGTCACAGTTATCAGTATTCACTGGAATATCGAAATGTGTTCCAGAAAAAGCCTCACAGTTTTTCCAGGTGTAATTTGATTTTTTGGATTTTTTCTTGCCATTTTTTCCTGCTAATTTAGCTTTGTACACGCTTAAAGGTAAATCATCATCCGATTCCCAATCGAGGTCTTCATTTCGTACGCCATCCCTAGATGTTTCTTCGGCTTCTTCTTCTAACATCTCAATATTTTCTTCTTGGTCTTCTTCTAAAGTATCCATATCTTCCTCTTGGTCTTCATCCAAATCCATTACATTATTTTCTTCATTCTCCGCTACATTCTCTTCAAACTCATCATTTTCTTCGCCGTCTTCAAAGCCTTCTACGTCAGACGAATCAGCGTCCAATAATTGAAGTAATACATCGTCATCAATGCCCGGCCGTAAATATTTTTTCTCACCAAATATTGCTGGAATTACAAAAAAAAAAAAAATTCTTGAGAAAGTCCCCATGTTCACTTTATTGGACATAGCTAAATTTTAAATTGTCGAAAAATAGTCCTCACGTCCATCAAGATGGACGCGAGGAATTTAGGGCGATTGATAAGAAATAAAGCTTACCCACAAACATTTATAGTGAAATATTTACTTAATAAACTATAACACATAGTAATTTCCCAAAAAACAGCAATAAAATATCGATAAACAATAAAAAAAACACTACTTACTATCATACGTTCGTTTGCTTTACGAAACGCCGCCATGATTGGAATAACAAATAACATGTGGTTATATCAGTATTTTCGAGCGCGCAGTGCTAGATGGCGTTACAAACGGGTCCAATAGGATGAACATCAGGTTTCAAGGGGTATAATTTTGATAGGAACGAAATTAAAAATGTAAAACTGGATGTCCAATAAAATGGACGTTAGGTCTCAGGAGGATATCCCAGATCCTAAGGCAGGAGAATTTTATTGTCTTTATGACTGCGATTTGTGACTTGGTGTTTTTCTTCACAAATATAATTGAACACAGGTCTCTTTGACCCATGAACTATTTTTTCGAAGGAGAGGAGGCTGCATGTTTTCGAATAAAGAAGAAAACAATTTGTATTTCATGCAAAATTCAAATTTATTGAAAAATCAGCGTAGTAGAGCGCTTTCGGCTTTCGACATCATCAGTACTACCTGCAAGCGAACAAAAGAAGATGAAATTATATTAAAGTAATTGACCAATTTATTATATACATATTTACAATTACTCTATTATAATTTTATCTTAACTTAGTGAACAAAATTAACGACATACATCCCAGAAACTGGATGGAAGCCGAGAGAGATAGACAAATTAACTTCCTCGACATCACAATTCAAGTTTCACCTGAGGGTTTCAAATTGTTCATCTATAGAAAACCAAAACAAACCGACCATCTGATTTCGAACACTTCCAATCATCCCCACCAACACAAAATAGCGGCCTTCAATTGCTACCCAGAAGACTATCATAACGAGTCAAAATTTTGGAACAAGTGGCTCACAACAATGACTATGATGATCGAATTTTTTTCTAACATTTTAAATGAAATATCTGACCTACTCCCCCAGGCTAGAGAGCTCAAGTTCGACAAAGTCAAGTCTAAACTTAATCAATTGATCATTAACAGATTCAAACAAAATAAAAATAGACGTAGAGGGAGTGCCGAAAGGTTCTCAAAGTTTCAGTTTTATCAAACGGTGAAGAATCTGTCAGACTTTGTCTTCAATGAATGCGAGATGGATCTGTTGAGTCTTAAGGACTTAAGCATTGTGTTGATCGAAGGGAATCCTAAATATTAGGGGTCCCTCTCTTGGGTCTCAGTATCAACTTCGTTTGTTGAAGAAACTTAAATTAAAAATTCAGGATAAGGATCTGATAACTCTAAAGATTGATAAGGGAAATTGTGTTGTTGTCATGAACAAGGCTGATTACATCTCCAAGGTATAGAATTTTTTGTTGAATAGCAATTTCACTTTAATCGCTAAGAACCCACACAATACTTTCATCATAAAAGCAAACATACTGCTAAAACACTTCAGGGATGAAAACGATAGCCCCAAAATCTTGATATCCAGCAACCAATTAGACCAGTGGTCAGCTTCACCAACACACCGGTTTGCTTGATTTCAAAATTAATTCTCAATCTCCGGAAGATGCTAACAGACTTCAATCCTAGACATGGTATTAGCAACTCCTCCTCTCTTGTGGACAAAATGACTTCCCTCAACATACCGCGGGAATCTTTTCTGACTTGCAGAGCTATGACAGCTCGCATTAATGAACCCATGTCGAGAACTGACTCAGCATTTGGTGAGCACATCCGCACCTCTAAACATAACTTTGATCCACAGTCCAACTCAAGACTCAAGGCTTATACGAACAGTTAGTTCCAAAAATTTCAATAGACTTGACTCCCTTGAGGACATTGAGATTAACAAGGAACTTAAAAATAGTGATCATTGTCTCAACACCCAAGTCAGCCTCAACAGAAGTTACATATCTCTACATACAAGACACACACAAGAGATTAGTTTCACAATTAATTAATAAAAATTCCAATATCATAATCCTGATCAAGACAACATAACCTCACTTACGCATCTATTTATAATCAATCAGCTACAACCCACTCGCTCTGCGTTTTGAGAGTTGACAACTTCCATAAACAGCTGTTTTCCGCCATTAGTTTGACCTAAACTTGACATCCCAAGGAAGGGATGACTTTGCAGAATTTGGGATTCAAATTTAAAATAACGAAAAAGGCTGAACTCTCTCCCTTTCATTCAATGAACATCTAGAGTCAGAAACACTGACCAAAAAAATCTTTGAAAGAACAATTTAATACCACAATTTTCATATAGAATACAAAGAAATTTAATATTTGAAATCCTGACTCTCTGGCGACCCTCGAGAGAATTATTTTAAAATATTTTTTAATAAGTTTTACATTGTTTGTGACCTTTTATCGTGTATGATCTGTAATTCTCGTCGTGTCGTAATGTGTTTTATCTTTGTCGTCGCTGTCCTTTTACAATTTCAACTTCTGTGTAGGAACCTGACAAGTGAGTAAGAAGTTAAAAGTTGAAAATTTATTATGAGTGTCAATTTGAAAACTTCCCACCCCTATTATCTAGGAGTAGAAAAATTTTCAAAAAAATCCCTGAAACACGTCAAGTATAATTTGAAGTTTTTATGCAAAATTCACCTCCCCTCTTTCAACCCCCCAACCCCCAGAGCCATCCCCTAGAAAATCTTAAATGGGAAGAGGGGTCAAGTGATACATCATTTTGCAGGGTTTTTAATTCCATACATTTTGGTACTAAATTTCAATACCTAAATTCAACTGTTTTGGAAATATTGACAGTAAAAATTGACTTTTTTTGCAAATTTGACAGGCTGTAAAACCTAAAAGGTTAATTTTAGAGGAAAACCGTTCTTACATTATTATCTTAGATTTTTATAAACTATCATTTGACAGCAACTTTGAATTTAATCCATGATCAAAAATTCTGGTTAAAATTTAATCTCTGGTTAAATTCAAAGTTGGTGTCAAATGATAGTTTATGAAAATCTAATATAAGAATGTAAGATTGGTTTTCCTCTTAAATTAACCGTTCAGGTTTTACAGCCTGTCAAAGTTGCAAAAAAGTCAATTTGCAACTGTCAATATTTCCGAAACAGTTGAACTTAGGTATTGAAATTTGGTACCAAAATGTATGGAATTAAAAACCCTGCAAAATGATGTATCACTTGACCCCTCTTCCCATTTAAGATTTTCTAGGGGGTGGCTCTGGGGATTGGGAGGTTGAAAGAGGGGAGGTGAATTTTGCATAAAAACTTCCTCCTTCAAATTATAATTGACGTGTTTCAGGGGTTTTTTCGGAAATTTTTCTACTCCGAGGTAATAGGGGTGGGAAGTTTTCAAATTGACACCCTGTATACATATGTATTCACAATTACTTTATTGAAATTTTATCTTCTATTGCTCGCTTACAGGTAGTACTGATGATGCGAAAGCCGGAAGCGCTCTACAACGTTGATTTTTGTATGAAATACAAATTGTTTCCTCTTTTCCTTATTTTTGGTAATGTTATCATTGTTATCAAGCTTAGACTGATCTAGGTATGTTTGATATTTAAAGGATACTGAAATATGCGCTTTGAGTAACTTAGACCCATTGGGGATGTACAGGGTGGGCCAAATTGGACACTTTCTTATGGAAACACCCTTTATTTTTAGAGATAGAAAAAAATGGACCCCCCACTCTGAGCCTCAAATTTCATGAAATTTTGATTGGTGCAAACCGCATTTTGATATCTGCAACCATTTAGGCGCTAGAGGGCAATTCTCGATTTTGAGCAATACTGTAAAGCCTCCATAACTTTTTTGTTTATGAAAATAATTCATTTCCGTAAGGACCTTTTGGAAGCACTTTTTCAAGCAGAATTCAGTGACGTTCTCAGTTTTTTTCTGTCTGGCTTCGATTTCGAGATATTGGCCAAAATCCGATTTTTTTCAATAGGACACCCTATATATTAATAATTCATTCGAAAGCTATGCTTTCGCTGATTTCAATGATATAAAGTTCGATAGGTTTATCTCTAACAGTTTTCGAGAAAAAAAATTATTTTGGATTTTGTCATAAGAAACAATATGTTGGAAAAGGACTTTATCTCTGTAAGGAAACTGAGAAAGATCTCTTTCTTACACATTGTTTCTTATGACAAAAACCGAAATAATTTTTTTTCCTGAAAATTGTTAGAGATAAACCTATCGAACTTTATATCATTGAAATCAGCGAAAGCATAGCTTTCTAATGAACTATTAATAGGGTGTCCTATTGAAAAAAATCGGATTTTGGTCAATATCTCGAAATCGAAGCAAGACAGAAAAAAACTGAGAACGTCACTGAATTCTGCTTGAAAAAGTGCTTCCAAAAAGTCTTTACGGAAATGAATTATTTTCATAAACAAAAAAGTTATGGAGGCTTGACAGTATTGCTCAAAATCGAGAATCGCCCTCTACCGCCTAAACGGTTGAAGATATCAAAATGCGGTTTGCACCAATCAAAATTTCATGAAATTTGAGGCTCAGAGTGGGGGGTCCCTTTTTTTCTATCTCTAAAAATAAAGTGTGTTTCCATAAGAAAGTGTCCAATTTGGACCACCCTGTACAGTGGGAATCATTGCAATTGGTGTACGATTACATTCAATCAACATAGCTTTTCGCTCATGTATTTAATTTTTTAATCAACGTTGCCCTGAAAAGCGTGAGAGTCACCCGTTGTAAAAGAGTTGACAGATTAGTACATTAAAATACAAGTTTCATAAGACGTCATTTTATCGCACGAGCCCTATATTAGAAAACGAGCCGGAGGCGAGTTTTCTAAAGGGCGAGTGCGATAAAATGTCTTACGAAACGAATATTTTATACT